GAATTATACACACGTATATAGTTGAAATTGACGATCGAAGTAGTTCACTGTATTCACATAGGGTTAAACAGTATAGCTTTAAAAAATCATCAAAATCAGAGTCAAAATAACCGTTGAATCATGACTTTTCGTTTATAACCGTCGAAACGTTTTGTCCCGTTACTTGAGCTCTGAATGTTTTTTTTTCTCATTTTTGACGTATAAGATCTCGAAGTATAAACAAACATATTTGACGGCTAGATTACTGAAACTAGTTTCCTAGAATGCGTATTCCATAAAAACACAATATTCATAAAAACTGAATAATTTCTTTATACATTCCTTCAGTCTAATATAAGATTATGTGATGTCTTGTACTGTAAATATCTGAAATTGAAGATCGAATTAAATCTCTGTATTCATATAGGGTCAAGAACCGCAGCTGCAAAAAATTTTCAAAATCGGAGCTAAAATCACCGTTGAATCGGGACAATTTGTTTACAACCGTCGAAACGTTTTGTCCCGTTACTCAATCTCTGAACGTTCATTCATTATGATTTTTGACGTATACGATCTTGAACTATGAAAAAAGAAGATTGTCGGTTGGATCATTGAAACTAGTTCAGGAGTTCGGGTTTAGGGCTTAGGGTACAGGTTTTAGGGTTTGGGGTATGGTTTTGCGCGACGAATAGAAGCTTACGCGTCGCGCAAACCTTTTGCGACGAATAGCAGTTTGTTCGTCGCGCAAAATCAATAAAAAAATTTCCCTCTCCTCTCCGCTCCAGCACTTAGTGAAATTTTTTTTATCAAAAGCCAGTTTGCGCGACGAATATGAGTCCATTCGTCGCGCAAAATCAATACAAAAATTTCCCTCTCCTCTCCGCTCCAGCACTTAGTGAAATTTTTTTATCAAAAGCCAGTTTGCGCGACGAATATTATTCCATTCGTCGCGCAAAATCAACAAAAAAATTTCCCTCTCCTCTCCGCTCCAGCACTTAGTGAAATTTTTTTATCAAAAGCCAGTTTGCGCGACGAATATTAGTCCATTCGTCGCGCAAAATCAATACAAAAATTTCCCTCTCCTCTCCGCTCCAGCACTTAGTGAAATTTTTTTATCCAAAGCCAGTTTGCGCGACGAATATTAGTCCATTCGTCGCGCAAAATCAATACAAAAATTTCCCTCTCCTCTCCGCTCCAGCACTTAGTGAAATTTTTTTATCCAAAGCCAGTTTGCGCGACGAATATTAGTCCATTCGTCGCGCAAAATCAATACAAAAATTTCCCTCTCCTCCGCTCCAGCACTTAGTGAAATTTTTTTATCAAAAGCCAGTTTGCGCGACGAATCACGGAGCATGCGTCGCGCAACCTTTATTTGGAACAGCTAGCATGCGCGACGAAATTGGGTTTCGTCGCGCAATCGCATTGCATTGATTTTTTCCCGCGCAAAATCAAATCCCAACATTTTGGGCGGCTGCACAAGTATGCGCGACGACAGCATTGTTTCGTCGCGCAAGGTATATCTGTTCACACGTTTGCGCGACGAAATTTGTTGTTCTAGTCGCGCAAAGGTCCAATTTTATAACATTGCGCGACGAAAAGTTTATTTTTTCGTCGCGCAAGGGTATTTTAATGACGTTTGCGCGACGGAAATGTATGTTCGTCGCGCAAAGTCGAATAAGTTTTCTGAAAATCGCGATCTTCTCCTTCTTCCCCAATTTCTGAAACCTAACCCTAAAACCTCCCAAATCTCTCCGCCGTGACCTCAGCCCCTAATCCGCCCCAAATCAGACCCTGCCGCCGCCACCGTCCAACCCAGGAGCTTCTCCGCCGTGGCCGTCCATCCTGCCGCCGTGAATTGCTCGGTTTAGCCCGAATCTCCGCCGCCGTTGTTCTCTCTCCTCCGGGCACCAAATCCGGCAATTGAGGTATGCTTTTTGGCCTATTTTTCATGCTCTAGCTGATGGTTGTGTAGGATTTGATTGATTGTGTGCATAGGGTAGTCAATTTGAAACCCTAGGTTTCGGCCGGTTTTGAAATTCAAATTCCGGCCACTTCCGTCCGTTTTCCGGGGTAGGTCCGAGAACAAAAGTGGCTCCAATTGATGTTTTAAACCTAGGGTAGGAACCTTGCCCCTTAATTTGTAGGATTTCCCGGGGATCGTTATCTCTTAGGGCACCCACGCGCTGCCGGCGCGTGTGGTGGCGCGTGGGGTACTGTGGCATAGGGCTTTTTGTCCCAGTGCAAACATTTCGTTGTCACGAGCGCGTAGGTGTGCTCGGATTGGAATTTGGTTATCGTTTGAGTCTCGAACGGTTTGAACCTATTGTGCGATTTTAGGGTTTGATATGTTCGGACCGTTGGATCGAGCTGAAACTCACGTATGTGGTACCATGTATTTATAGGATCGTTTAGGAATCGACGGATTGTGGATCGGAGTCCCGGATACTCCGAAATCGCAAACCCTAGGTCAAACTATGATTTTAATTAGTTAGTTCAATTTTTTACTGACATTGTATGTGCTACATTGGATTAATGAAATTGTGCAGATGTCAGACTTGATTAGACGTCGTAGGGCGGTGACGGCTACACCGAGTTCGGAGGCCCCGGCTCAGCCGGTATCAGCTGCCACTGCTCCAGCACTGATGGAGCAGGACCACGTGCTAGCTGGTCCTGGGGGATCCCAGGCGGCTGCATCATCATCTTCTTCGGTGGTGCAGCCTCTTAGCGCTAGGCGGCGACACCGGCCCGCTACCACCACCGACACCACATCCACTGACTGTACTGGTGCCTCGGGGGCACCTACAGGTAATACCCTTCCCCTTTCATTTTTTGTTTAACATTTTTTTATTTGGGAATTTGATGGTTCAATTTGATTGTATATGTAACAATATTGTCCTATCCCTTTGCAGCCAAGAGGAACACCCGAGGGCCGTGTCGGCAGCTGAAGACGGCGAAGGTCACCCGGGTGACCAACAGTCGTATCAGCATCGGATATGACGAGCGCCATCGGGCTGCACCGACGGCGGACTTGCATAGCTCCTTGGCCCACGACATTGGCCACGTCGTTCGGACCCATTGCCCGATGCAATGGAAGTCTTGGAAGGTCATACCTGACGAGATCAAGATGCAAGTTCGCGGCCAGTTGTCGGTATTTTTCCTATCTTTTAATTATTTTTCTTTCAAACTTTATATATTTCTATTACTTAATGTATGTAATCAATTTATTGCAGACGAACTACGACTTAGAGGACCTCAACGAGGAGACTTTGGCGTACGTCAACAGACTCTTCGGTGAGAGGTACAAGCAGTGGAAGAGCGACTTGCACCACCATTTCCAGGCCTTTGATGATCCGGAAGTCGCTCTTCAGGAGGGTTGCCCGAAGGAGCTTGAGGGCCGGGAGGATAGTTGGGCGTGGCTCTGCGCTCATTTTCAGGCGCCCGATTATGTGGTATTTTTTTAATAATATTTGTTTAATGTTTATTTTATTTTTTATATCTCATTATTATTTAATTTATTTATAGTTCAATTCTTACGTTTTATTTTTTGTATAACAGAATAAAGCCCAAGTGAATAAGGGCAATAGGAAGAAGAAGACTCTTCTTCACCATTCCGGCTCCAGGCCCTTCTCATATAGGATGGATGCACGGCGTCGGGTAAGAATAATATAATTTATATTTAATTTTAATATGTCATTATTATTAATTTCTTTTGTTCATACTAATATTTTTCTTCTCTTGTTCAATTAAGGGGGGGTCGAAATTCCCAGAGATCGACGTCTTTGGTGACGTTTATGTTCGACCTGGGGATGAGTTGGCCGAGTCCCTTCATGTAAGTATTATGTATTTTTAATTCTTATGTTACACTTTCAATTTATATGCATTTTTTAATTTATATTTTATGTAATGTTAAATAGACGACGATGGTGGAGAGGAGCCAGTTGGTTCTTCAAGAGTCCGCCTCCCAACTTCCTCCCGAGACTCCGATCGAGTCTGTGGATCCTCCGCATGATGCTGGATTTCAGATTTTGACGCAGACGTTGGATCAGACTCTCGGGAGGAGGCCGGGAACGTATTGTAGGGGGATGGGGAATGCCCGACAGAGGGAACCTCGACCGCGGTCATCGTCGCAGGCAAACAGTCAGGTGACTGTTTTGACATCGCGGGTTGCCGAGCTTGAGGGTCAGATGTCGGTGATTCTGCAGTCGCTCGCGCGGTCCGGGATTCCAATCCCGAATTTTGGTGCGTCGACCTCCGAGCCCGTCCAGCCCGAGCATCCCCAGCACACCACGGCCCCTGCAGACGCCCATACCTCCGAGCCGCATACCTCCGAGCCGCATGTGGCAGATGACCAATTAGATTTCGGAACATTATTTGATTAGTTTGTTATTTTTATAATTTATTTTACAATTTGTATACATTTATTTTATTTTATATAATAGATGTTTTCTTTACGATTAATTTTTTTTAATTGTAATTTCATTTTAATTAAAAAAAAAACAACATTTATTTTTTTACAAATTAAAAATCAAATAATAATAAATTTTTTTTAATAATATATATTGCTTTTGCGCGACGAAACGTAAATCGTCGCGCAAAAACATTTAAATATATCTTAATCTTGCGCGACGAGTAATTTCGTCGCGCAAGATGTGTATGCGCGACGAACAAGATGTCGTTGCGCAAGGTTCATGCAGTTCGCGCGACGGACAATTCCGTCGCGCAGTTTTTTTTGCGACGACCTCTGGTTCGTCGCGCAAATATTTGTGCGACGACCTCTGCTTCGTCCCGAAATGTTTTTTGAAACGAAGATGTTATACGTAGCGCAAACTGCGCGACGAATGACATTTGTTCGTCGCGCAAATCCTTTCTTCACGACCTTTGCGCGACGGATTGTGCGCGACGAATATTCTGTCGCGCATAATGATGTGCGACGAAAATCGTTTTTGCGCGACGAAAACCCTTTCGTCGCGCAAAGACTAAAATGTAGTAGTGATATACACGAGGGTTTAATATATTTTTAGATCGCGTGATTTGGCTTGACTCGTGTAGTTTAATTTAGTTTGCATTACAGTTAAAAGGTCAACTTATTTTTTTGGACGAAGTGTTTGACATACATGAGATGGACTTAAATTTTAGATGTCTCTAATGCTACGGAATTAAAATTTTATCCTTAATGGTTGGTTGAGTATGTCTTTGATCATAATTAAGGTCTGTTAACACTGTCCAAAATTTGTATATATGTGACAATCACTTTGGAACATGCAGGGTTTAGGCCTTTTGACGTTGTCTACAATAGAGAAGATACTCTTTACATATCACTACCTCTAATAGCTGTGGGAGTCTCTGCTTACATTGCCTCCACACTGACCCCCATTGGCGACTAATCGAAGCCACTGTCATCATCATCAGAATCTGAGCCGTTGTTGGTGCTGGCGGCATCAGAATCAGATAATGCCAGCACCGGCACTGCGAACGCCCACTGGACAGCGGCCTTGTTTGGGAATGTCTTGTTGGTCGTACTAGCGGTCTTCCTCCCAGTATCTGCACTTATAGCAGTTGGTTATGTAAGCCCTTGGTGGATCAAGTTTCTGATTCCCGCCGCTGTTACCGTTGTGGCAACAATTATTTTCTTGAAAAATTCAAGTTCTTCATACCAAAGAGAACAAGGGGGCCTTTATATTTTCACCTCAATTTTTTCCACAATACATATCAAAACCGTCCTCTTCGCCATTCCCATGTGCATCACCTTCATCCTCTTAGGCGTCGTGTCTTCAATCGGAAACACTTTCTTCATCGAGCAAGCAGTCGGCATGAACCACTATGTTGGGAGCTTGTGGGTTCCAATCCTTATCCTTCCAGGGATCCAAGGGTCCGTGAGGAAAAACTGGGGGGTGGCAGGAGAATGCTGTGCTAAAGTTCCCAAGTTTGGGATCGCGATGTCAATGGTGTTTGCAACTCTCTGTTGCATCACGGCTGCGAAAGTGGAGACCCGAAGACTAGGTGTGGTTGAGACAGAGGGTTTTAGCGACGATGCCATGTCGATAATTCCTATGACCATGTTCTGGTTGCTTCCTCAATATATTCTACTTGGGTTGTCGGAAGCGTTTTCGGAGAAGTGCATTGCGGGTTTTTTCAGCGACGAGCGGCTGCCTGGAGCCAATGAGGGTGATGAGGCAGCAAAAGGGGCGAAGAAGAAATACATCGAAAGCTTTGCTCAGGCTGTTAATGGGGTGGGGATTATATTGGGTGTGTTGATAGTTTATATAGTGGGTGAGATTCAACCCACTTGGTTCCAATCCACGGTGAACAAGAGCCGTTTGGATAATTACTTCTGGACCTTGGCTGCATTGTTTGCAGCTACTCTTGTATTGTTTGGTTTGTTCAGCTGTTGTCTGTCTGTTTATGAGTTTAAACGTCGGTCGACAGAGGATGTGGAAGGCAATGTCACTCCAGCAACAACAACAACAACGACATAGTTAAAGAATAAGAAAGAATATGGATGTTGTATTGAGTTTCAATAATTCCTGCTGGCTGTACTTGACTTGAGGATACATAGATTTGCATATGAATTGTGATTTTCTTACTTCAGTGTTTTAAAGTACTTCAAAATGCAACTGAAAATCCAGGGGGCTATCAGCAAAATAAAATTTCTCACACACCTGTAAATTTCCTCCGCTTCTCTGAGATTCAGCCTCCAGCAGATGAACCAGTTTGTCTTTCTCTTCGCGTGTCCAGGGTCGCATGCTGTCACACCATTGCCTCGGAGGTAGAACATTTTTTTGATAACTTACAAAATATATATATTATTCTAAAGGTTTTATAATACGTTTAATATTACTTTAGTGCTTTAGAAATTTTTTAATTTAAAAAAAAAAGTAAAATGGTTTTACTTATACAAATAATAATAACTCAGTTGCGCGCTGGTGCGCACCTTATCAAGCACCGTGTGCTGCTCTGACTCATTTTGGTCAACCCATCAGACGGTATTTGGCGCCGTATTGCCTGAATTCCCAATAGCTCGTACCATCTCCTCCTTCTTTGGGTTTTACTCTTTCTCGGAGGGTTTTAGACAGAAAAAAAATCCGAATATCATCAGAGCACAGATCGAAATATCGCCATGGACGTTATCAAGACGCAGCAAGTATCAGCGAGGCTCATCGAGAAGGTGATAGTTCACCCACTCGTTCTGCTCAGCATCGTCGACAACTACAACCGAGTCGCCAAGGACACTCGCAAGCGAGTCGTCGGCGTTCTGCTCGGAAGCACTTACAAAGGCGTCGTCGACGTCTCCAACAGCTACGCAGGTCCGATAATCTCAATGCCCTCACTTGATTTTACCGCATTATTGATCTTTTGCCCAAATCCCCATTTTTACTTCTTTGTTAGGTTTTGATCCGGAAATTTGTTGAATTGATTGTAGATTCGGAGATTTGGAAAATTTTAGGGTTTTGTGGAATCTAAATCGACAATAGTTTCGTGATTCGAATTGGGGTTATTGTTTTATTCTCCGTATGAGTGATTTGATGTGGGGTTAGGGTTTGCACAATAGGGCCAATGCATTTGGGCTTCATTTTACAGTGGTTGAAGATTGAGCTTGAAATTGACATGTTTCTAACTGTTTCATTTTTAATGTTCAGTGCCCTTTGAAGAAGATGATAGAGACCCTAGCATTTGGTTTCTTGACCACAACTACCATGAAGCGATGTTCTCTATGTTCAAGAGGATCAATGGTAACTTCTGTTCAACTTTTATGTAAATATGGACACTGGCTCTGTTTTCCTTCCCTCGCCCCTCTCTTCTTGGAGTTGTTAGTAATCCCTGTAAAATGAATATCTGTTACATTTCAGCCAAGGAGCACGTTGTAGGTTGGTATAGCACTGGGCCGAAACTACGGGAGAATGATCTGGATATTCACAGTTTATTCCACAAGTAAGATCATGTAAATCAGTATATGCGTGCATGTTGCTGCATTGTGCATTGTACCCCACATATGCTTTCCTTCTTCTCTCTTTACTACGGTCCTCATGTGATTCTATTCAATGCACGTTGTTTAGATTAATGAATTAATATATTATATAATATATGTTCTCTTGGCAAGCTGGGGATACTTGCTTTTACTTTGTTTGTAAATCAAGTTCCTTATGGTATGCAGCTATGTACCAAATCCAGTCCTGGTCATTATTGATGTGCAGCCTAAGGAGCTGGGAATACCCACCAAAGCCTACTATGATGTCGAAGAAGTTAAAGAGGTAACCATGGGTTTACATGTTCTTAGATGGCTACTATCCCTGATTAAATGTGGAGGAACGTAGTTGTTTGTTTCTACATTCCGTCAAGCTATTCCATATAGCCTCCCATGCAGCTAATGTAAAGGCTTGATAATACTTACAGAATGCAACTCAGAAAAGCCAGAAGATTTTTGTCCACGTGCCCTCTGAAATTGCGGCTCATGAGGTTGAGGAAATTGGTATGTCATAAGAAGAATAGTTACATTTTCTTGTTAACACTTTTCTCTGTTCAAAACGGTAGAAAAGATAACCTGATTTTGTTTTTTTACCTCTAGTGTAGTTCAAAATCCTAATATATTGATTTTGTTATTTTGTTATTTATCAACAGGAGTGGAACACTTACTAAGGGATGTGAAGGATACAACCATCAGCACCCTTGCAAATGAGGTTCTTCAATTCAAGTTTTATTTTTTCTTTGGGGGCATCTTTTTAACTTTCAACTACAGAGAAAACCTTGAGAATTGAATCCTTATTAATGTTAAAGCGTCTGCATTATAATGAAGTGGAAGGAATGTATTTACCTTTTTTTATTTACAGGTTACTGGAAAACTTACCGCTCTAAAGGGTTTGGATGCACGGTTACGAGAAATACGCAGTTACCTAGATCTTGTCATTGATGAGAAGCTTCCACTAAATCATGAGATACTTTACCATTTGCAGGTACACTTTTCATTACTTATTTACTCTCTCGAGCTACCTTGTTCTTCCTGCTACTCACTTTGTTTACGGGTTTAATTTTAGCATAAATTAGTCATATTAAGAATTTTTATGTTGAATTTCAGGACGTATTCAATCTACTTCCAAATCTCAATGTGGCAGAGTTGGTCAAGGGGTTTTCAGGTATACAAGCAAAAATATCTAGTGTGTGCAGATCCTAATAATTTAGATAGCTCTTCTGTTTAATTTATTTTTTCTGATTTATATTTCCCTTCTCTATGCAGTAAAAACAAATGACATGATGTTGGTTATATATCTTTCATCTCTCATCCGAAGCGTCATTGCCCTCCACAACTTGATCAATAACAAGGTAACCATGCTCTTTCTAACTCCTCCTCTTCTATTGACCAGAAGCAGACAACAGCATCAGAAAGGTTTTGAATATGGTCCTGAGTGTTTCGGATCCCCTTATATCTCCCTCCCTTTTTGGCTCTCTCTGAGCTGCACATAAGAAACACCATGTAGGAGTCCAGTACCACCTGTTAAGGTTCTGTTTTGCTGGCATACATTGTTGGTTGCTGTACATAAGCAAGCAAAAAAAAAAGTGTGAACAGTCAACTCCGTGCAAGATTTTGGTTTCCTTTAATTTGTTCCTAACTATGCAAATACAAGTATGAAGCTATTCTTCTCAAAAGGGAAAAATATGAAACTATTAAACTATTATTCCTGTGAATGCCCCCCTTTCCCTCTCCCCCAGTAGGTCGGACAATATGAGTTGGGGATGAGATGCTGTCCTCACCATTGTGCCTCTTGACAGATGAGAATTAGAATACGCTACCCTAGATTGGAATTTTAAAAGTTGGGAATGTGATAGTATGCTCTCCCGTGAACCTCTTTAATTAATGAGAATTAGTGTATGACATTTAGAATTGAATTCAAATTCTAGCCTTCTGGCAGATTAACTGTGTATCTCTATGATTTTGTCAAATCTGTTTTACAGATGCTAAACAAAGAACACGAGAAAGCTGAGGATGCAAAGCCAGCAACGGCCCCATCTGTTGCTGGAAGCTGAAAACCATTATTTGCTGGTGATTGGGGTTTCAGCGGTTGTGAACAGTGCTCTAAGCTTTTGTCTTGTAGCCAATTTGATCTGCCACTTTTGAGGCCTTTATTGAAGATTTTGTATTCTCAATATTGACAGGAGTTGCAGGTTGAGATATCTTTGTCATTGATTTGTTATACAATATCGGAACAGTTTTAGATTTTAGTACCATGCTTAATTGCATGGTACATGTAGTCCTGATAAAATTTCCCGATTTGCATGTGAAAGAACCCCTTTCGCTCTTTTTGCTGCACAAGAAAAGTGTAGTGTTTTATCGTTTTTGCTATTTTTCTTAAAAATAAGTAAATAAAGTTGTCCCTAAATTTAAAATTTAGTTTTGAGAGATAAATGAGAGATGTTGCATCCATTCCCAACCTATATGATGTTTATGCCGAATGATTAAAATGACTGGATTAGTAGACATCCCATTGGATAATTTATGTTCACTTTGATAACGGATTAATAAACGTCCCATTAAGATGAGCAAGAAAGAGCATTTGATGAATGGGCTTGGTTGTTAGATTTCCTCCCAGCCGTTCCTGGATGGTGTTGAGCCCCGTCTCTCTTCTTCATGTGTATCCATAATCTGTCTTCTTTTTCGTTCAGCTTCTTCTTCTAATTGAATTTTTAGCAAATGAAGATGGGTGTCTTTTCCAGAACGATAGAAGAAAGAGGTGGTGTTACCCGTTTAAAAACAAGAGGTGGTGTTTGCCGTTAGAAAGAGGGCTGTCGTCACCGTCAATTTGGGGAAGAAAAAAAAAGGTCATACCTGATGTAATCCACAAGTATTAGATTATTTGAATGTTCTAGATTTTGCAAAATGCAGATAAATGCATGGATTATAAATTCAGAGGCTCGGGATTCCGTTCAACTTCAACCAAAGCTAGTTTAGGCTAAGCTCCAAATACAAACAAACAAAAAAATTCCGGCAAAGAAACTACATGTCGTTGAGTTGATAACTCTCGAAAAACGGCACACCGTTATTTGCACATCTTCCTCGCACAAACCCATGGTGGCGGCACGGCCACTTAGCCCTGGCCTCTGGTGAAAGCAAAAAGTTAGAAACGAATCAGTGGAGGAGGGTTTAGGGTTTTGCGACACTGCGTGTTGGGGCACGGCCAATTTCTGAAATTCCCTAACTCCATTGATTCTGTGAATTCAAAGAAGCTGAAAAAACACATTGAGAGAATAGCAGCAGATTAGTAGTTATTGTTAAAGAGAGATGGGGAAAGCTTCAAGGGATAAAAGGGATATATACTATCGAAAAGCAAAAGAAGAAGGTTGGCGTGCTCGCAGTGCCTTCAAGCTTCTTCAGATTGACGAGGAATTCAACATATTTGATGGAGTGAAGCGGGTCGTCGATCTTTGTGCTGCCCCTGGTAGCTGGAGTCAGGTACTGATATTGATTTTGATATTGCCCTTTTGCTATGTTACTGAAAACCCAATTCCCAGTTCCTAATTTTGATGCGTATTGTGGTTTAGGTTTTGAGTAGGAAATTGTATCTCCCAGCAAAGAGTTCATCAGATTCTAAGTAAGTTGTCAACTACTGCTTATACTAGTAGTATAACTATTCTTCTTAGTAAACCAAGACCCTAACTTTCTCTTTTTATCGATATTTTCAGGGATGGTGATGTGCCCCTTATTGTAGCTATTGATTTGCAGCCCATGGCTCCAATTGAAGGTGTTATTCAAGTGCAGGGTGATATAACTAATGCTCGAACCGCTGAAATCGTAAGGATCAGCTACATTTCTACTTCCCTAGCTCTACATTTTTCTTTCATTTTGTATATGGTGATGTGTATTGGCATCCATTTTTTTATCTGACTTTTTGTTGACCTTTTTAGGTCATCAGACATTTTGATGGTTGCAAGGCTGACCTGGTTGTGTGTGATGGTGCTCCAGATGGTATGCTGACATTTTTAGTTTCATGGTCCATCTTCTTGTTACTGCTTTCGTTTATAATTACTATTTTCTTAAGCTTTACTTTATTTTGATTTGCAGTTACTGGCCTTCATGACATGGATGAATTCGTTCAGTCCCAGCTGATACTAGCAGTAAGTGTCCTGTAAGTCTGTACAAGGCAATATATCATCATATTTTTGCATGAAAGTTACCTAATTTAGAAAGAATATAAAATACATGTGGTTCCTGTGCTCGTTATTCTACATCACATTCTATCTTTCTGACCTAAATTTGTCAAAAATTTGTTATGCTGTTGAACTTTGTATTATATTGACACCAGCTGGTGGATCTTCCTTACAGGGTTTGACGATTGTTACTCATGTACTTAAAGAAGGTGGAAAATTTATTGCAAAGATATTCCGTGGAAAAGATACAAGTCTTCTCTACTGCCAGGTAGTTTTTAAGCTTTCATATTTGGGTGCCTAATAAAAGTTGTTAAAAATATATATTTCTGCAGTTCTTTAATTTGTAAGATGAACCATGACTTCCATTGAATTAATTCCCTGGTTATTTTGCTGGTTTTGTTGCAGCTGAAACTATTCTTCCCCTTAGTGACTTTTGCAAAACCAAAAAGTAGTCGCAATTCCAGCATAGGTAACATATTGGGCTTCATTTTGTTTTTCTTGGCAGTTTACATTCTCAGTTCTTTTCAATCCATACTAATCCAGTACATTTGGCATGAAATAGGATCAATCATCTTGTCAACTCTTTCTTAATTAAAATTAGCTAAATTAATAAAGAATCCTGGTAATTTCTTAAGGTTGTATGGGCAATCGAGTTAAAATACAATTCTGTTCTAGATATACAAATGCTGCATGAAATGAGCAGACTGATCTGAATTCCATTTGATATTCAAATCCCCCTCCCTTCAGAGGAGCATACGCATGTGCATGATAACACTTACAGAATGCTGAAAATTTAACATGACATTGTTGGACTGCTTCTACTGTGTCCAAACTAATGCTGGTACTATTTATCATACAGAGGCATTTGCAGTTTGTGAGAATTATTCTCCTCCTGATGGATTCAACCCTAAGGATCTGCATCGCCTCCTAGAAAAGGTGGGAAGTCCCTCAGGAGCAGATGATCTAGGTATGTAAAATCTTCTACATTGAGATATGCGGAGACTCTTATATTCACAAAGTTACAATATCAATGGGCATTCTTATAATTCTTTATGATGCTTGATGGTCTGAGTCTGACAAACAGTCACAGTTCAAATATAGATCAACAGCTCCAACTTCTTTTGAATTTTGAATAAGTTACTTGTTCTGATACTGCAGTATTGACTTCATTGCATGCTTTAACTTTGCAGATTGCAGTAGTGGGTGGTTGGAAGGGCCAAATAAGGTGTATATTCCATTTCTAGCTTGTGGTGACCTCAGCGGATATGACTCTGACCGTTCATATCCACTACCTAAAGATGCCCAGGGAACTTACCGGAGCTTGGATCCCGTACAGCCCCCAATAGCCCCTCCTTATAAGAGAGCTCTAGAAATGAAGAAAGCTTCCAGCCAGGGCATCACAGAGCTTGAGAAGCTTTCTTTGGAGTCATGAACGCGATCATTTATACACAGGATCAAACAACTTAGGGATCCTTAGATATCTAATTTAAACTACAGATGGGCTTATGTCCCAAATCTTTAGACAATTATTCATCCCTTTCTTGTTGTAACAGTGTGTATGTCTCACAATATCTGATTAATCTTGATATAACTATAATCTTTCTGAGATTGGAAATGATATCATGTGGTATTCAAATATCAGTAGACAAGATGCTCTTTACACTTCCATTGGAAGCAATGTAATGATAAGGTGGCTTTCGATTGTGTGCTTTTGTGCTCCTAATTCCTAGGGTCACTCGAATATACAGGGCAAATTGAGCTCTACTTTGATGGGTCAAAAGATTGAGATAAAGTAGATGTAAAAAGTGGTATATTCGTTGAGTTGAACGATAGTGGTCCTGAGACAACAACCTGTGAATTCTGGTAAGGTAAAAAGAGGCACGCGACTAGGTCCACAGCCCATCCTGCTCCCAGAGAATTATCAGTATCCATGAGTTGGTAACTTGGTATCATGTTTGGTACTGGTAAAATATTCGACAGCTTATACTTTCAACTTGAAGAATAAGCACAGTAATTTCTAATTAGACTTAAAAGATCGAATCTTCAGATTTTGGTAAACTTTGTGGCAAGGTGATGTGAATTATGCTCTTACTGGCAAGGTGATGTGATTACATAAGCGCTCGTATACGTAGAGTTAGAGACTATATATGTATTATGTAATCAGCGATTACCTAAAATAAAATTAAAAGAAACCATGTAACAAAATTCACACCAGAAGGTGTGATTTGCACTCATTATGTATCTTTCTACATGTTACAGATAAATTTTTCATGCAAACAACAACCATAAACTAAGCTCTCTTTTTTTCTTCTTCTTTTTCCTTTTGTATGAACATTAATGTAATATATTCTACAAATCTCTAATTAACAAGAATTTGAAGTAACAGAATTGCTCCTCTGCAAAGAAGCAGCAGAGTTCAAGAACTCGATGCAGTCCTCTAAAGCTTCGGCTCGATGAGACTCGATGGGATCAGATACAGAGCGTGACCTTGTCAAGTGGTTGGAGGAAGACACCTTCCTTGAAGTCCTACTTCTTGCAGATATAATACACACAGCTCTGGCCACCTTAGCCCTGAGTGTGCGTAGTAATTTGATGGGTGCAGGGAGTTCTGTTGTATCTTTGAGCAGCCTGAAAGCCCAAATTCCAGTGACCCTGTTCCTGCTTCCACCTACTTTGGTGCCATTGCCACCACTCTGTTTCAGATACAGAATCGGCTTCTCGTTCACATCAGGACTGAAACTCACCCTCTTACTAGCTTTCCTCGACATATTCGACCGGAAAACAAAGAGAAAAAAGAGAGAGAAAAAAACACCAAATTTGGGAGCAGAGGAGGCAGTTGGGTTGGTTATGAGGAGTATTTATGATGGATTGGTATTGAGGAAAAGAGAAAAAAAGGAAAAAGAGGACACAGAATGAAAAAGAAAAAGAGAGGATTGGATTGGTTTGGTTTTTCTTGCTGGAAATGAAATGTGAGAATGGTTGTGTGTGTTTGTGTTAAAGCATATGGTGGTTTTGACTGCAAGACCAAGCAATAAGCGTTTGGTTCACGCACTCATCGGGTTGAGATATATATATATATATATATGTGTGTGTGTGTGTGTGTATATATATATAGATTGCATGAGCCATGCACATGCTGTATGTGATTAAGTAGGTCATTATTAATCCGCATTCTCTGCAGGCCGGCCTTTGAACTTTGATTATAATTTGATTAATTATACTTCGCTAAAGGTGGTTATTATTACCAATCAGCTGGCACTAAGGAGTAGGTATGAACAGCGGGGAAAATGAATCTACTAGTTAACTTGGAAGATTAAAAAGAAAAAAGGCAAAAAAAGAAGAAAGGGTTTTGGTCAAAAGAAAAGATGGAAGTGGTGGAGCCATAAGAGGAAGACAAGAGTGGAGCAAGAGAGACAAGCACTCGATACTCTTCTCTTCATCAGAAGTTTTGCTTTTTAGGTGCTGCCTGCCGGGCCTACTCTCCATTTTCCTACAGTTGTCCATCAGAATTGTGGAGAGAGAGAGAAATAAAGAGAATCTGTTTCAATTTTTTAGAGATTGAGAGAGAGAGAGAGAGAGAGGAGCATAGATTTGGGTTTGGCGTGAATATGAGGGAACTTTTACTTTCTTTTCTCTTCTTTTTAACCTCTTTGGCACAGAGAGAAAATTCCTGTGTCGCAGAATCTGTTTGCTGCGTTGGTTCTTTTGACTGGGGGTGACAAGAAAAAGGCTTCCCAGTTCCCAATAAATGTGGATTTTGCATATTCAGTCAATAACTCACTCTTTTTTCTTTTTTTTTCTGTACTATATATTAATAGTCTATGCTGAGATCTTTTCCTGCTAATGTGGGTCTTCCACTAATGTTTCCTCCATGAATTCTTCATTCTTGTATGAAATCAACATTCACGTTTTGGGTTCAAACTTATCTCCTTTGAATCATGACCTGTTGGAATATATGTCACTTCTTATTCCTAGCCTTGGCAGTCATTGTATTATGGAAGAAAGGAGATTGGTTTGAGGTTCTCCTGTTCAAAGATTGATTATTAAGATGCTGCTGATATCATAGGGGTAGGGGCCTAGGTCCTCTTGGCCGCGTGAATTGTACAGATGTCAAGTTATCTCCAACTCAAGTCTATGGACACATTCTTCTTTTTTCGGTCGAAATCTATGGTCACATTCAAGTATGAAGCTTTATCTCAAAAGATATCGGTACAACTTAATTGTAGACTTTACATCAAGTTGCCAAAAGAAGCATAATTGCAAACATACAACACTTTAGGGTTTCGATTCCCTCCATGGGCCTGCCTGACTTCCATCTAAGTTGGGCTAATCTTTAAACATTTTAATGTTTTTTCAGAAGTATATCACATTCGATTTCAGAGGGCCATAGTTTGATGGGCTCCAAGCTCATCCCATTTTCATTCTTTCCGGCTCACCACTAGTTTGGAGCCATGCACTTCGTACACAAGTCTTTTCAAGTTCATTTCTGCAGAGGACAGAATGCAACATGTAATTTGTTACCAAGCATATTTCTTACGACTCTCATGTGCAGTCCCAAGTTTTGTTTTCTTCACCTAAAGGGAAAGCCTTGCCAAACAGAAAAAACCCAAACTCAGTTTGAAAAGCACTTGTTTGATTGCGTTATGATCTCCTAATTTAATATCTACCAGCATATCTCCATACGTATCAAATTTGTAATAATGACTAGGACCACTTAAAAAATTAAGATAATCCTTGTTTTGAAGTTGGATTGGTTCAACATTATTTGGGTGCCACTTGAGAAATCGAATAAACAATAAAAGGATATTCAAACGAATATGTTATGATACTCTGGATATTTTTTTAAGGCTTCCATTTACACATTGAACAATAGAATTAAGGGGTATTCAAGCAAAATGGGTTAAGCTAAAACCTTTGTTTAACATAACAAAATTAACACAAGGGTTAGAACTACGACATATCGACATTAAGAAAATAACAACATTAAACTACATTTTTTTTTTTGTCATCTATGATTTGGAATGACCTTGTGTGCATAAACGGCTTACGCTACATTTTCTTATTAAAATATTCGATTAGATTGTTCTAAAAGAAGTCATATTTCAGAGCCTCTAGAATGAATCGTTGAAGCAAATGAGCAGCCATCAGCCTAAAAAATGATGAATAATTGAAGCAAACGAGCAGTGTGGAGGGACAGAGAAGCTGCCAAAACGTCATGAAAATGCCAGTTGTATAAAAAGTACAAGCAGAATAGGTGCACGTTTGATAATTGGGTATGCATGCCAAACAGAGACAAATGAGGATTTTGCATTTGAGATTTCATAGTGTAATGCACATCAGTAAATCCAAATTTACACTCCAAGTTTTCACCTAGTTGTCAAAAGTAAAAAAATCAGTAAATCCAAAAAAATTGGTAGGAATATTGGTGGGGACCCTTTTTGTTTGGTATTGGTAATACGCTCCTACTTAAATGGAGATGATGAGATGCTTGATGGATGTGAAATCTAAGCAATGTTTTACAGTTCGACTGACAAATAGCTAATCCAATATTCAGACCATTAAATTATGGGTCCTTTTTTTCGAGCTCAATTTTCTCCTAAAAATTGATTTGTGTAAAGATTTTTTTCTTCTTTGTTCTTTTTTTGCTTGTCCAATTGTGCAACTGAAAAGATAGGCATGCAAGAAATTGACCGCAGAGAAGAGTGTGAGAAATTAGAAAGGAAGAAGAAAGATTCAACTCAAGTTCTCAACATATCAAGCCAATACGGAATAGGGGCATATACTGAGAGAGCTTCCATTTGATACCACCATGAAAGAATATCCATTGTCATAGTCCTTCAAGGTCTTCTAGATTCCTTTGCACATAATTCATCCCATCTTCCACATGCACCCACTGTTTTTATGATATTCCTTAATCCCATGGAATATATCCCTCAAGTTTTCTAACAAAAGCCCCTTCAAGTTATACCTCCATACAATTTATATTACAATTTACACTACACTCAATCATCATGGTGACCTGTGCTTCTCTCTCTATAAATCCCTCTCTCTCTCCTCCCTCTTTTTCCACAGCTACCCAATCATCTTTTTCCTCTGCCTTTTCTCATTCTCCATCCCCTGCTTTCCTCAGATTCCCAAGCTACCATTCGTCAAGAACAAAACCCAGTAGCCTTTACGGTCAAGGTGTTTGCTTTTGTTACTCTGAGAGGTCAAGGGGTTTGAGGGAAAGTAGAAAACTTGAGCTTAAAGCCAGCAATATGACTATTACAGAGGTCGAGCAAGAAGAAGAGGAAGAGGGTCCTCCTCCTTATGTTGATTCTGAGATAAACTCAAGACCTCGTCGCATTGCTCTCTTTGTGGAGCCTTCTCCCTTTGCGTGAGTCTCTACTGTTTCGCTACTGTGACTTTTTTCATATAAATTATTTTTTTGGGAAGTTGAACTTTATGGGTTAACCACTACATCTTCAATTTTGAGATACCCATCTTATTAAAATGCTTAAAATTGTTGCCTTTAGCCATGGACGTTTATGTTTTTAAGCTTTTCTAAGTGAAGTTTGTGTCTTTAGGTAGTGTCATTGACTCTGGGTTTGGATCTAATCTGGTTTAGCTATAACTAATATTGCGTTTGATGAGATGATATGATGTGTCGTTTTAGCTATATGACATTTGTGTTTCCTTTGAAGATTATACGTCAGCTAGTAGCTTTAGCTAAAATTTGGTTATTTTGTTTTTGATTGATGCCGAATGAAGTGTTAAGACCGTGACTTTTGCTGCTGTTTTAGCTGGTAGGTTTAGCTCAGCTTTGATTTATGGTGTGCCTAATGATTTAGTGGCTCTTTCCATCTCAATGGTAAAGTAATCTAGTGTGCTACGCCAGCTGCTATCTGGCTTGGTGGTTTTTCCATTCTGGCTTGGTTGTTTTTCCATTATGGCATGGCATTTGGCGTTCTTGGGAACCTTTTTTTTAATGAGTATTGGCTAGTTTTGTCGCTTAGCTTTTACGTTCTGTTTTTATTTGGTCATTATTTGTGGGTTAACATTTGGCCGTCATAGGTTGGATCTTGATTTTAGCTTTATCTCTGTCCACTTATTGGGTGAAGTCGAGGGTGTTACTTGTTACTGCTGGGAAGTTAAGGCTTATTTAGCTGCTATGACCCTGAATGCTGTTGTCCTGAGTTTATTTGTGGTTTCCTAGTATTTATGTGTTGAGAATTAAGCTTTTTCAACAACCAATTCTGTTACATCTTCCGGCAGCATGTCGTTAATGTGTTGTCATGTACGAGGCATCCTGTATTTTTTGGGCTTCAGTTGTGATATTATAGATTGCTTGGTTGCCAATCATCTAATAGTTCACTATCAACGGGTTGCATGATTCAGCTGATATGAAATAGAAGGGGTTGCATATTGAAAGTATTTCCTTGTTCTGTTTTTCTTGCAGATATGTGTCAGGTTATAAAAATCGGTTCCAGAATTTCATTAGGTACTTGCGTGAAATGGGGGATGAGGTAAAATTCTCTATATCTTCACACTTTTCTATTATATTGACTATGGATGTCCTTAATTGAACCTGCATTAGTGAGAATGAACTTCCTGGCTAAATTGGCAGTCAAATTGGCTTATTTAAACTTTAAGGTTATAAAGTTTTCTTTAAATTCCAAGATTCCTTTGCATAACAATTGACATATTTGCTTACTGATACATGGTATAGGTGATGGTTGTGACAACACATGAGGGAGTGCCTGACGAATTTTATGGAGCAAAATTGATTGGATCCCGAAGGTAAGATACACAGTGATCTAACTTCTAAAAGAATAGTAGACTAAAAGTATGCAAAGTATTGATTTTACTAATTCATTTCTCCCTCTCTTTTCCTTTTGTTCCTCAGCTTCCCTTGCCCCTGGTATCAGAAGGTTCCCCTTTCCCTTGCACTTAGTCCTAGAATTATTTCAGAGGTTGCTCAGTTCAAGCCTGACATTATACATGCATCCTCACCTGGAATTATGGTAAGAATTTATTTATTTCTTATTCTTCTCCTGGTAGATGGTAAATTGATTATATTTTCGTTATTATGGAGAAAGAAATAATAACAAAGAATTGAAAGATGGCTGACACTTACCAATTGTCCTGTAGGTTTTCGGTGCTCTCATTATCGCTAAGTTATTATCTGTCCCTATAGTGATGTCTTATCACACTCATGTGCCAGTGTGAGTTTAATTCTTTGATTTATTCCAAGTTATCAGCATATACTATGTTAGATATGATGCCAGATTTTGATAAATCATATGGAAAAAGTAATTATATGATCAGAGTGCTTCGCAGTGAGCTTTCTCTCTTTTGTTATGCAGATATATCCCACGATACACCTTCAGTTGGCTGGTGAAACCTATGTGGTTGGTTATAAGTATGTTACCTTTCCTTTACAGCCTGTTATAGTAACATGTAGACAAGAGCATATTGTTGACATTGTAGTTTGTCTTATCAGAATTTCTGCACAGAGCTGCTGATCTCACGCTAGTTCCATCAGCTGCAATCAGTAAGGATCTCCTAGAAGCTGGGGTGGCAGCAGGTGAATATAGTAAACTCATTTCATGTCTCCATCCTAGATTTCCTTTGATGAAATTGTTAACTAAATAGAGAAAATTGTGTCCATCCATCTCAGTTTTAAACTAACCTCCTTTTCTGTATTGCTTATCTGCAGCTAATACAATCCGTCTTTGGAATAAGGGTGTTGATTCTGAAAGCTTCCATCCTCGCTTTCGTTCTCATGAAATGCGTTTAAGACTGACGTAGTACCTCTATTTGTCAATTTTTGTCTCTCTTTTTCCCATGGAGTTGGAAATTTTCTTAATTCATATATGTCGTTGTCCTGAACAGCAATGGTGAACCTGAGAAACCTTTAATTGTTCATGTTGGAAGACTTGGAGTGGAGAAGAGTTTGGATTTTCTGAAAAGGTAGTGTGCTTCTCTCTTACAAATTAGAAATCAATGGGAGTCATTTCTTTCGATTGAAAAGGTAGTAATGTATAGCTTTTAACCCAACCAAGGGTATGTCAAAGCACTTGAAAAGTCTTTCATTTTGAAACCTTTTTACCCCTAAATAATCATTTTGGAAACCTTCTTTCATGTTTGTTTTTACCTGTTGCTTTTCATTTTACAACATTAAAGTGACCTCAAAAGTTCATTATATATCAAGTCAGATTATACAACCAATTAGACAATTGACGTATTTCTTGCTATGTGGAGCATTCAAGGCTAAGCCTAAACTTGGATGTTGTCATATCTTGTTGTATTCTCCTCTGATACGTACCATGCTTTTGCATAACTTGCGGCCTTTAACATATAAATCATTTTGGTTTAACAGTGTCATGGATAGGCTTCCAGAAGCACGTATTGCTTTTATTGGAGATGGACCGTACAGGTATTACTCTGCCACATGATGAAAGTCTAGAATTTTTAGGAGTAATCTTTGCGTACAAAAAAAGCTCATACAAAAATTATGTTGCAGCATATTATCTCAATCAATTGTGTGGCTTTTACTTGGCAGGGAGGACCTAGAAAAAATGTTCTCTGGCATGCCCGCAGTATTTACAGGTATGTTAGGAGGTGAAGAGCTCTCTCAGGCATATGCCAGTGGGGACGTATTCGTGATGCCTTCAGAATCAGAGACACTTGGGCTTGTTGTTTTGGAGGCTATGTCTTCAGGTATCCCCGTGGTAGGAGCTCGAGCTGGTGGAATCCCAGATATAATTCCAGCAGACCAGGAGGGGAAAACTGGCTTTCTCTATGATTATGGGGATGTTGATGACTGCTTAAGAAAATTGCAGCCCCTGTTGGAGAACAAGGAACTAAGGGGAACAATTGGCAAAGCAGCACGTGAAGAAATGGAAAAGTACGATTGGAAGGCAGCCACGCGAGTAATACGAAATGAACAATACAATGCTGCCATTTGGTTTTGGAGGAAGAAGCGAGCACAGTTTCTCGGACCTTTGCAATGGTTCATGAAGCGCATTTTTCCACCATCCCCGCCAGAAATTAAATGCAGGTGATGATTCAGATCCTACTGCGTTTAGCACAGAACTGGTTGTTGTAGACTTTGCTTTGGGCTTCAAAAGAAGTTTGTTGGATTGCACTTGTGATCAATTGTAACTCATTTGTTGTATATATTGGACGATCAAGTAAAGTCAATTGTGTTGCTCAACTGACCCTTGCAAACTTGTACATACACAAAACTGCATTCATAGCCCATTATCGTCACGTCTTACTGTGACGTTTGTAATCTTTACTCAATCGACAGGCGACGTGAAATCCGTGCACGTTTTGTGTATCTAATGTGCTGTGCAAGTGCCTCATTTTCGCGCGAAAACTACTTAGATGTTAATTGGCTGAGAGTAAGTTCGAGTGTAAGTAAGGCCACTGTTCCATGCATTTTACATGTGGCTGAGTGCCTCATCTCCTTAACTCATAGATAGGGCACTTCAGGACCAGTGAGAGAGTATTGTAGGGATGAAAAAGCTCTGTTCATTAATTGGTTCACATGCTAACGAATGAGTAGGTCTAATAGAAAGCAGTAACGCATTGTTCTTGTATTGTTGGTCTATAGGCAGGAAGGGCCATGGACCACACATGGAAAAATCATCCCGGTGCATCCCCTATACCGCCAAGCAGTCACATATGACATATGGTGGATTTTGATGTTTGGGGTCGTTCTCAAGGGGTCAAGTGCCTAGGAGATGAAGCTTTTTAGGCAACATCGACCAATGCTAGTATTAGTCGGCAAGGCACGTTTGGGTGACTCTGAGCAGTCAAATGTATTTGTGGGTATTAGTGCATCCACGGCTCAGTCACTCACAAATGCATGGGCGAATGATGCTAGCATAATTCTTAGCTTCTTGTGATGCAAAATTATGAGGTGGGTTGGTGCAGATAGATCCTTAAAACAGTTTACATCACTATTTACAAACCAAATACATTACTTGTCGAAATAGTAAAAACGAAACCCAGTAATTGTGAAAAGTGTAAGAATCTCACATGCATTTGGATGGTTGGGAGCATTTTGCGAAACACATGAACAAAGGTACACCTGCTGCACTTGGCACATCACTTAAAAAGTAGTGCAGCTTTTCTAAGCTTATCACTGCTGTCTGCTGCCCTCCCCATGAACACACACGCACACACAAATCGCATTTGGGATTGAATGAATGAATGGTCGAGGTTTAGATCGTTCTGACTCTCGGTCGGGTTGAGGGGTCCTTGGGATATGATTGTCTCCATCACGAGAAACACTTGCATAGGACCTAAACTAAGCCTGCTTATGTTCGTTCATATTTGAAAAATTAATCCAAAACTATCTACTTCGCATACTTCTTTTGTGTGTGAGTGTCCTCTCAGCTAAGAATCGCATTTAGGTTGCTTTCGTTTTGTGAAATCACCGTCAAGCGACGAGTTTAACATTCTCATGTTTGGAAAGTACACACGCCTTTGGATATTGTTATTCAAATTCTACAAGATATCATATATAAAGACAATATGTAAGTTGTAAGGATAAGATATTGATTGACTAAAGTTGGCTTGTTATTTGCCATAAATAGGACTCCTCCACATTATGTAAAGTTTTAAGTTAAGATCATGGGTGGGTGATTATTGACCTCAGCACATGGAGAGGGTAGAGCTGTAGACATCACACCAGTATATATCACTTCAACGGGAAGGCTACAATGAAGGCTTAAAGTGAGGAGATTATTTGAGGAAGTCAAATCTCACCATCAACAAATGTAAAGAAATAATGAGACTTAAATATTTTAAATGTTTTGACGGTCGGATTGGTCTCCTCAAATAACCTCCTCACTTTAACTCCTCATTGTAGAAGCTCCCTCACTTCAATGGCCTCTTTTGTCTGTGCAGAATTTCTCTAGTTTTAAATTGTGGTTTAGTCAAAATTAGAAGCGGTCTATTTCGGCCCAATTTCTATTGAACCAGATTTTTGGCGTCAACCCATTTCCAAAAAAAGGAAAACAGGATTAGAGAATGCCTAATCACTCCAAACAGGAATTAGAAGAAAAGAAACCCAACACGTCTTGGATTTATCTGATAAAGAAATTCGGAAATTCCGTCACGTGGAAACTGATTAACCAGATATTTATATATAATCATAATAATTATACAATAACAATACTAACATAAAATCCTAATCCTAATATAGTACAAACCACATACTAGTAGCCAAAACGTCGCTGTTTCAAGTCTCATCACAACCGTCCAAATCAGTTTCACATAGCCATGACAACGTTTTGACCAAGGTCCAAGCCACCATAACGGATTAACGGTAATTTAAACCATATCGCCGACTAAGCAACCGTTTACACAACCGCCGATACGTACTGCATGAACTCCATATCGGACTCGAGCCCCGCCATCGTCTCCGGAGCCAAAACCACCTCCAGATCAACGCTCCCGTTCCCTTCTCTCCCCGGAAAAGCCGAAATCTTGCCGTCAAATTTGTTTGCCCTGCCACTCCGTACGGCCAAGGGTCGGCCCCATCCAAAATCATTGTCGTACATTGGGAATCTCGGCGAGCTCCCCATCGTGATCATTGCGCCGTCGAAATTTCCTAGCGGGAAAAGCCTTGGGGCGCTCTCCCAATCCTCAACGCCGCGGCGCACGGTGGCGTTGTCGTGCGCGGCGACGTTCTTGCGGAGCAGACCAGCGCACCAGCTCAGATCTCGAGACAACAGCTCGCCTGCGGAAGCAACGGTCGGGATGCTCTGTATTGCGTTCCCGAAATAGTGTGGGCTCAGCTTCGGCTCTAGCCGGTGGCGGCAGTTCACAGCCATCCGAAACGTCGTCGTTTTGGAATCTGGTAGATTCCTAACACGTGTCACGGAACGCCAGAGCTGCGCGCTCAGTGACTGAAACGACGAAATCTCCGCAGTTTTCGCGCCTTTACAACGAGAAACGATTTTCCAGGTGTCGTTGCATTGCTTCCCGAAAATCTCCGCCGATTCCAAAAGCCCGTTACAGTTACCGTTACCATTAATCAGAGGACTGTTATTGGCTCTGTTTTTTAGTTTGAGAATCGATTCTCTGGTGAAATGGAAGATTCGCTCTCGTAACGGCTCGTTTCCGGAGAAGGTGACCTTAGGGCCGCCTTCGGGCAACTGGAGCACCGCCGGCGAGTTGAAGATGTTTTCGCGCGAGAAATCTGGAGATTTGGAGATTTTCTTGGCGCCTTTGCAAATCTCAGCAAAGGTGTTAAAAAAGTGCCAGAAGGAAGTTCCGTCGGTAACAGAGTGGTTAACAGTGCAGCCGATGAAGATGCCGTCGGCGAGCTCGGTGACTTGGATGGCAGCCAAGGGTCTGGAGTGGCCGGAGTAGCTCAAGGTCCGGTCGAACGCAAAAAACTCCCTGAAGTAATGCGGAACGTCCTCGTCCGCCGGCAAAAGGAGGTCGACGGAGAGGTGCTTGGCTTTGGCTTGGATGAAATCGACGCCGGCGTCGTTGCAAATGATGTGGACGTATCCTTCGGCGTCGGTCTCAAAGCGGCCGGCGAGGGCGGGGAAGTGGGAGAGGGCTAGGGAGAGGGAGTGTTTGAGAGAGGCGATAAGGTCGGCGATGTGGAAGGGCGGGGAGCTGAGGAGGACGCCTTTCTGGATGTATTGACAAGAGAGCATGGGAAGATCAGAGACGGAGAGCTTGAGGGATTTGATTGTGGATTTCGTGTTTGGATAAACTGCGCATTTTGAAATTATAGTTACAGAGGAAACAGAGCAAGGCATTTTGAAATTTGGGGATTAATTCTGTTGAGTTGTGAAGTTGTGAAGTTGTGAGGTTGTGATGGTGGTGAGTGAAGTGGTGGGTGTGGTGGGGGGTTTATATAGAGGGCAGAGGTGAGGTTGGGTTCGTAGAATTTGCCTTCTCCTCCTACTTTCTTTGGTTGATATTAGTTTAAAAGAGGGGAAATGATGACGTGCCAAGAAAAAGGGAGGCTACTGTGGAAGGTAGGACACATGGATGATGAGTGGGTGTTACAGTGGTGCAGCAAAAAGACATTGTTTAATCTCCGAGATTAATGTTGGAGTGTGGTCTATATCCGACTGCATATCTTTATATTTTGTTTATTCGTATGTGTTGTGACTTGTGAGCCAAATTATAAATATTAGAGCAGCTTGTAATGCTGAGCAGTCGTGCCAAACTGCCAATATATTTGGGAATTGCGATTCATGCTCATATTCACAAATAAGTGTAGGAGTGAGTGTCGAAATACACAATGCATTTTTTTTTTTTTTTTTTTTTTTTTTTTGGGGGGAAGAAAGAATGATTTTTTTTTTTTTTTTTTTTTTTTTTTTTTTTTTTTTTTTTGTTTTTTTTTTTTTGTTTTGGAAGTATTATATAAGGGAAAACTCACACACACGAATATCGTTGAGATTTGAACTCATAATCACTTAGGAACGCATTAAAAGCAAGATTTAACATTAGTACAGAAAGAAACTGGTGGAAAATGTTTTGATTCCAAGACTAAACAAATATAATAAACACAATTTCTCAGCTTAACAACTCTTGCGCATAAAGAGAATTACCATCACACCCCCTATCATCAACGGGGCTTATATTCAGAAGTGTTCATTACACAGAGATCAACACACGTGCCATATATATGATTTTTCCTTCTTCTGGGAAAGCCAGTTTTCACTACTTTAACTATTGAAGTTGATGAATAGGATTTTCTATCCCAATTACATGTAGTGCCGCCCATTTGGTTTGACCAAAGGAATTGTAACACCTGGTGTTAAAAACGTGAAAAATCAGCGTTTGCTTACTTAATTTTGCCATCAATAATCTCTCTCTCTCTCTCTCTCTCTCTCTCTCAACTCAACAATCTTTGGTTTGTTCTGTTTGGGAAAATAAACTGCTTTTAAACCAGGAAAGAAGACAAAAGGAAAGGTACAACAACCAGGACCAAAAAGAGAGACTCCTTTCAGACCCTTCCAAACACGGATAAACTTAATGAACCTTTAGAGGGACTGAGTTGAAATTTCAAAACAAAGTGTTTTCTGACTCATGATAGAAGAACAGTAGTCTTTCTCTTTCGTGTTGTTGGAAGAATCAAATGATTGAAGCGCAACTTGACCTGGGCAAACTTAGAAACAACAAAATCCAATTTTATGCAAATTTGACTCCCAGTTTCGATCACCTGTCTTTTCCGTACATATGAGATTTTTAATATGGTGTCAATAAGCTCTTAACATGGTAGTATTTCTTTGTGATACGTTAGAGGAGATCGAAATTCAAATCCACCGTCTCCCGCCGCTGCCGTGATTAAACAATTAACAAAACTCTTTTACTAAGCATGAGAACAAAATGCTTGACCAAAACTGTTACAGGCCTTCAAGGAAGAAGAAAAAAGGAAAAAAAAAACAAAATACATAAGATTATTGCGGAGTGTTCAATGAATGTTTTCTACATGGTCGCATGTGTAGGCTTAAAAGTTGATTAACTAGTGGCCGTGACTCGTGAGATCATCCACACAAACTTGATATATGTAATTTAATGATCAGTGCTCCGGGACATATCTAAACAAAATCTAATTAAGTGACAAAACATGTCTACTTTGACGGATAAGAGCCATGGACCAAACGATAACTGAGAATGTAATCGGGTACCTGCTGCCACTTGGTGTTTCTAAATTAATCAACAAACGGGGTCCAATTAATCACAGCCTTTGTTCCACCATGGATGGAACATCTCAAAGCAGATTCCAGTGGCCAACAAGATACTGATCAACCAGGGCCAATCATATAGCAACCGCAGAGACGTGTCTGAATTCTATTCGCAAGAGTTCGCAACTGCATGTTAAACGCCTGGACTTTCATTGATATATGACGTTGACAGAAGTCAAGTACATTGTCAAAACCCACCTGGCTTTAGCCCATTAGATCCTAACTGATCAAACAAACCAGGACAAAAACATTTGTAGCCGTCCTACTCGATTGTTTTCCTCGACATGGGATCAGAATTCAGCATGATATCTTGATATTCATGAATCTAAAGGTAGATTAGGGTTGATATTTCAAAGTATGTTCTTAAGCATGGGAAGAGCCTATTCTTTTGGCCCACCCAACACTTAATAAGTTAAAAATTACCCACTAGTCCCCTTATTAGTTGACCCAATAATGTTTAAGTTCTCTGTATGAACCACAGCCCGTTTTCACTTTGACGGGGAAGGAAGTCATTGTGCTTCCTCCCCTCCCCTCTTCTCCTTTCCTCCCTTCTCCTCTTTGGGTTTTCTGTGTATTTTTCACCTCTACTTTTGTGAGAGGTTTTCACAATTCCTTTATTAGAGCTTTCCATCTTTCCTTTGTGAGAATTTTATTTATATTGTTATAGCTTGGTTTTTTTTCAAGATTTATCTATTTTTGGTTGTTCTAAGTTTGCACTCTTATTTGGGATGTCTATGCTAGAGTTTCTTCAATCATACATAATCGTTATATGAGAGGAACCCCAGATTGTCTTAATTTTGATGCTAAATCACTATGTTATTGTAATCACCCTTTGTGGCTAGTTTGTATTGACTTTTTGTGGCTAATGGCTTTTTTGGCTAAATTATGAATGCAATCTCAAAATATATATATAAAAAACTTCCTTAGTAGTTAACCTCTATCCACCTTCCCCGATACTTATTTTTATTTATTTATCATTAGGGAATAGTGAGTTTCAAATTTAGAACATCTTTAAATCTTCTAAAGAAAATTAGGTATCACCAAATGAAAAGTTAGTTAGTCGTCTAATAATGCTCTAGGTGCATTAGTTTTATATTAACAGCACTACTGGAATATCTTTCAAACCCTAAATCATTTCTATCGTATTTATTGATTATATTGTTAACTAAACGTGATTTACAGAACAAATGTTTGGATAAGTAGAAGTAAAATTCATCAATAAAAATTAGTGGTGTTGAGATGAGAGAGCATATAAAGACCATAAAAAAAGAAGATTGTCCGAATATAGTCGTTTCAGGTCCTCTCATCAACCTGTAGAGCAAATTCCACGCAGAGTGAGAGAGGATATGAACCTCTTTATCTTACTGTAGGAGATTACTGAACACTATACGACAAAAGCCAAAGGAAAAAAGATGAACTACTTTTCCACAAAGGAAATGAATGATGAGATTTTTCTAATTGTGCTTTTGACAAGATGCTAACTCTCCACTCATCCTGGTTCCTACCAACTTAATTTGGTAATAACAACTTAACTATTATAATAGAATCCCAATGATTAGTTGTACATTGGTGCATGAACATAATCCTAAAAAAAGAAATTAATATAATCCGGAGGATCAACTACTTACTTATGAGGCTTTGCTAGCCAGTGAAAATTAAGAAGATATTTCGAGGAATAAAGTTGATCGAATAATGTTCTCTTGTGAGACATATCAAACAAATACTTACGTTGCAGACCGCAGAAATCTAATATCGTATTCTAAAATGGAATTACTTGCTATTACATCATCAACTTGTTAGGTTCATTGGCTCAAGAATGTGAAATAATTAAAAGTTTTGAACAATTCAATGATTTGGTCATCACCAAAAACAACCCCAAAAAAATCATTGGTTTTTGTTCAATATAACAAGCTGACCAACCATCCCTTTCAACCACTTAGGTGAGGGACAAGCTGGCACATACAAGCACACCCTCTTTCTCTGTGTGCTTGGTTTGATGGCATGTATGGTTTTGCCATGATTCGTTTAGATGCAATGTCCCTATTTCAGAAAGACGACAACATGGGCAGTTCGGTTTTCAACCCCCTCATCAGTCGAACCCAGTTGGCAAAAGTATTATATATGCATGAAGTTCTCTACTTGTTATATGCACAACACAATCGATCCTTAGCAAAACTAACTACCAACATGATGGTTTTCAGCTTTAGTTTTATGGTTTTCCCCTTTGCAAACAAACAACCCTGGGCCATAGCAAGTCTGGCAAACACATAGGTCTATTTTGGCTGTAATCGGATAGTGTGGGCAAAATGAAGTCACGGACAACTGTATATATATGTACTAGTTTGAAACAAAGTCTCAGAGCCAATCCATTACATTATATATCCCGACACAAATTCCAGATGTGTCACAAGATAAAACCAAGGTCATGGAAGAACGTGATTACATGGAGACTGGGATTGGTTTGAATAATGAAGCATTGAATTGGAGACGATAATACTAATTCAATTATGTGTTTGGTACGTACGTACTATACATGATTAATTAAAATATGCTATTACATAGTCTAGCAAGATTACACATAATTCAATTCAACTTAATTTCAACACTCTGGTGGAATTTATAATCCTACTACCCTAGTAGAAATAACTGAGATCATAAATTCTATTCAGTCACATAATCCAACTCACGAAACGAAAGTATTGCACATGAATTGAATAAAGTCCCAGTTGGTCTTATCGGGCTTCAATTCACCTCATCAAACATTGAAAGATTTAAAGAGAGAATATGACAAAGTTGGTGGTGTTGAGTTTCTCCATGTTTTCCTTGCTGAATGGAATTTTTAGTAGAATTAAAATTTGGTCAATATTTTGGTGCGCCTGGAAATTAGTGTGTGATGCTCACTGAACCAACAAGGAAGGAAAGGAGGCGGCTAAGACTAGAGAGTCTATAAGACCTGGTCCTCGAATGACATGAATGCCTAACAGGCTTAGAGCTAGGGCCTGCCTCTTCTATTAAGTGGCACCCTCTAGCTAGCTGCTCCTGCTGTGCATGCACCACATTAAGTGAACTCTGATCGTTGCATAAGTTACGTCTCCTCAGTTCTGTGTGTCTTTGTACGCGAGTGATTTCTAACCGTTAATGCATGTGAAATTTACAATGCATAAACAATTAAAAATCTCTCATGCATATATGTGCAACAAAAAGTTTTTCGATGCTAACATCGGTATTATTCATTAATATTAAATCATAATTTTATTATATTATAACTTGTAAATTAGCATCATTGCTCTTGTTTTTGTTGTCTTCATAAAAGGTTTTTTTAAACAGACCGGGAAGGAGAAGGAAAAGCAAAAGAAGAATTTCTGTTTAGTTTCTGCTGATGTTCGAGGTGCTGTTAGACCTCGTTTAGTTTCTGTTTAGTTTCTTTTTGGTTTGGGGCTTTAGTCCTCCCCTGTACCCAAAAAAGAAGAAGAAGAATTTCTCTATTTACCTTATTGTAATTAACTTGACCAAAAAAATATTTATTGTAATTAAGATCAGAAAAATGTTTCTGAAGATGATTGATTGGAAACCCAAATATTTCATTATTGGCCTTTATTACCGAGTATCACAATCTGTTGTAGATGTCGTGGAGCATCACAATCCGTTGACTGACTGGTGGTACGGTGAAATTATTATGATCAACAAAATTACAGCTACCAGATGAGAGAACCAAATGCAAATGAAGAGAGCCCAGGCCCGAACCCGAGTCCGAGGCTGAGCCCGTTTATTGGGTTTAGGTGGACGTAGGGAGTGTAATCTTTCTTAGGGAAAATGGGTCACCGTAAGGTGACCCGGAAACTATGGGCTGGACTTGGAAAACGGCAAGATGGGAATTCTATTTTAGAGCTTGGGCATATTTATGAGCAACACAGAAATAGTGAATGGAGAAATAACTCAAATGGGTTTCAATATCCAATTTCATAAATCAAAGTCCAGTTTTTATTTATTTTTTTAAACTCTTCTTCATTACGATAGTCTAAACTACAAGGGAAATGACGTTTCACACACACACTATCAATGTACTATGGGGGGGTTCAAACTTGAGAGCACTGCTCTGCAAGTTAGGACCATTTTTCACTAGACTAGACCTCATTAACAAAACATCGAAATCAAGTTTTCAAAATATGATTTTTCTACACTACGTCATTTCTAAAAACTGTTTATAATATTGATTACGAACTGACTCCTAATTTAGTGGTACATTTCTTCATGATATTAGAAGATATCTTAATTGACGAAATTATGAATTTCAAAAATCAATGGACCTCAAAGTTTGAGGAAATTATATTCTCATTCTTTGTTTTTCATTTAAAAAATGGGAATTAAAATATATTTCTTTGATACAAAGTCAAAATTTATCACATGAAAGGGGTATTGACAGTTGATCTTGATACAAAGTCAGCTCAAAATTTAATCATGCATCTAATCTAGTTCCTTCTTTTATATAATCAAAAATCAGTTTGATCCTGTACAGATAATTCACTTATTAATTGAAACTCGAAGTTGGGTCAAATTAGACATGATATATTATTCAAATTCATAACTTCTCACATGCAAGGGTTTAACAAAACCATTGGAGCCTATCAGCAATGCCCATATATACCAGCAACAACCCATCTGCATGCAGAAAAAAGCTTACCAATTTCCTCTTGTTCTTTTTAAATTGCTTTTTGGTAGTCAGCAAATTTATTATAATAAATTTCCCCATCAGCTGCCTGTTCCATCTCTACCAAATTTGGCATGCAACAGAGAATTTGGAACAAATAGCCTTCACCAAGCATCAAAGAGTTCAATTGAACCAAGCAATGGAAGACATGACAAGGAATTGCACCCTCACATTGCCTACGCAGCTCAACACAGATCATTTCCCACCTCATGTAATCAACTTTTTGGGGGGTGTGTGTGTGTTTTGCAATTTCCCAACAACCACTTTTCAATTTGGAAATTAGTTTAATCTGTTAAAAAGTGTTTTAAAAACATGTTTCGTTTGTTTGGATATGCAAAATGTGCAGCTTAATTATGTTTATTATATGATCATTGGTTATAAAGACATGAAATCTCTTCCACTTTCTTCCTCCTTTCAGTTCTTTTCTGGTGACATTCATTAACTCACAACCACAATGATGCACCATGGGAAATTAATAAATAACTCCACCAACTACTCACTGAGCTTTCTTTCCTTTTTCATGAATGCAGTAGTTTCTAAAATATGTGACCAAATTTTTATTTTATTCATAATTTTTAAATTCAGCATACGTGCAATCACCAGCTAATAAGAATAGACGAGTTTATAGTTCAGTCTCATGTGTACTCATTGTTTTGTCATTTAAGGGACCATGTGGGTAACCAAATTTTAATTTACACATGGCTGAGCGGAGGCATGTCAATCGAAAGTTTGAAACCACTCAAGAGAAGAATCAGAATACTTTTGCATAAACATTGAAGGAACAGAAGAAAGCCAAAAAGTTTGTGTTGTGAGGGACTAGGGTATGTGGTCATAAATCAACACAAAAGTTATATAATCAAAATTAGAATAAAGGTGGCCAAAGTGCTTTTCCGATGCAACTTGCAGAAAAAGTTGCTTCTTTTAAAAAAGAAAGTTGGGTAATTTTGTCATTTAATAGCTCAAGTGTTTTTTTTCTTCTTCCTTTTTTGGTAGGATTCTTCACATTGGTCATGTTGCCTCGAAGTATTTGTCTAGTGGGTGGGACCAAAATAATGTGTCCAAGCAATAGGGTGGTGGGCACTAGGCTTTTCATGAAATGAAGGTTGCAAAAAAGCAACAATAATGTTAGTGCCAGCAATTAGCAACAGCAAGCAACTCAACAAAGGGCCCAACTATGAATAAGAATAGGAATATGTACCGTCCTCCTCCAATTTTAACTGCAATATTACAAGATTTGATTGTACATGTGACTGTTTGAGATTTTCGATCCCAGGTAAATTTGTGGGGGTAAATTTTGAACTTCCAATTAAAAGATGATACGTGTTACAAACAATGATGCCCTGAAAAACTTACTTGATCTTATTTGTCAATCTCAAAGTTGGTGGTAAGTCCTACCTTTTGTAATGATTAAGAGAGTTCCACACATGTAGTGTCTGCTTGGGTAAACTACATATGCTCAAGATCTTGGGTGGGATGACTCCTCATCCATAGTGAACAATGCATTTAGGCAATCTCAAGTTCGAATGTCCCTTTATTCAAATCTACTCAACTCAATTTCATCCGAAACCATCAAGTTTGGACGTTTAGTGGTCAAGTACATTGACTCCTAAGGACCTGAAATATAACCACATTTGATATTAGTCTACCTAAACCAGCGAAGAGTTGATATATGGTCAAGATCATTCTCTCTACATTGCATTTGACTAGCAAGAAGATACCTTTAGTAATGAAAGTGCTTTCACACAATAAAAGTCAAGACGTTATTTTCTCAGAGAATCCAAAGCCCATTTTGAGGTGCAAACAAAAAATTATATAATGCGCCTTTGGCATAAAGAGTGATTAGTTAATACAAATGGTAGCTAATAATAAGCTTTGATGTCCCATAAATTTTGCATAGGGGGTCTTTAGGAGAGGAGAGGAGAGGATGGGGTTGGAAGAACAATATAGTAGTAGCCTTTTTAAAGTTTCTTTATCTGGCATAGTACAATTACGAATCATTAAACCATGATTCCCTCTGCTTATTACATTAAGCAGTCAAGGAAATCCAACTCTCTGCAGATACCAGTACCACTGACAATTGCCTTTCTTTTGGAGGAAGGGAGGGAGGCTGATGTACGGATCTTTTATTCTTTGGTGTACGGCTATTTTCTTTATAAAAGAAATTAAGTAGAATTAATTCGAGACTTCTGTTACCGTGTTGCATGTGCGTGGAAAATTGTGAATCATTGATGCATGTGATAATCCGTCGCTTTCTACTTTTGAATGTAACTTTAAATATAAAGTTTTGAATTAGTTTGATGCGGTGAATGAAAATGAGTTAGGATTGTGATAAATTACGGGCGAAATTGAATCCAATGTGACCAGAAGAATATAATGCTGAATATGAGTACAAAAAGAAGAGTCATCCTCAAGAAGAGAACAAAGTGAAAAGAGGGTAGAATGAAGCATGAGATGCCCAAATTAGTGGCTCTTGGTCTTAGCTTAGAGTCAAGATTCGATTGTCAAATGTAATCAATCAAGGTGCAGTCAGAGGCATATATTAATCCTAGTTTGCATAAAAAGAGTCAGGGTTAAACAGATCCAATTAAACTTTGTCATTTGCAGAAATGCAGTGGACCGAGGCATCTGATGACATGGCCTGTAAAGCAAAGCATGCATAATTCTGTGCGTTGAAACCATGCCACAGACAGACTTTTGAGTTTTTTGATTCAAAAGCTACAGTTTATTCTGCACTGTTCATAAATATCTTCTTAAAGTAAATCAAGGACTTGATATCCTAAGACGTATCTCAACCGTTAAAATAGATTCCCTGTCAAATTTATTTCTTTCACTGATGCCTGTAACCCACCCAATGTGTGAATTTTGGAAGCTGCACCTGCATGGCTTACTTCATGCAAGTAACAAGGGTGGTTTTCATTTATTTGTATGTACCTTCAAGTCACTTTGTTGCAGAAAATTACTTGAAATAGAATATTTGTAAGACATGCAAACTCAATCTCAAAATTACTCTCTCATTTCTGACTATTCTCAAAATCCCCCAGCACACAACCTGAATCACAAGTGATAAAGCTCAAGCTTTCATGTAAATAAGCTTCCCTTCTTTCGGACTTTCAGAATTTGAATATTAAATCACAAGATGAACTAACTGATCTCTCTGTAGAGTCTAAAACTAGGGGACTAACTCAATGTCCTCATCATCAACTTTTTCACCACATAAAAACCTTGATGTAGCATGGAGGGAGAGCAATAGTCTGGCATTTTTATAGCTCTAGCACCCTCCATGCACAGGTTCACTGGTATCGCATCGATTGCATCTGAAAACGCGCATTGTAATGCCCCAATTGAGATCCATGAAGATTGCCACTGAGAAAGTTTTGCTCCTCAAGCTTAGGTACATATGAAGAAATCCCACAAAATGGTCCCATGAAGGTGCTCCCATTTGCTGAATTGAAAACCATAGGCTGCCCCTCATTTGGCGATTTCCAGTCAAATTGTTGTTCACTCATGCCAGTCACCTTTTGATGCTGCTGTGACTGCACCACTGTGGAAGAATGGTCTGATGATGGAGGGCTTTTGCTGTCTGGTGAGGGAGGTTTGTTATCTTGGAGATTGACGGTTGTGATATCATGGATGCTGGATCTTCTCTTGTCCTTCCCTCCTGTAAGTTGCCTAATAAAGTATTTTTGAGCATGACTGGCTACCTGAGTAGGCGTCCTTGTGGTCACAAAATTGCGAGAGATGTTTCTCCAGTCACCTTTACCATACTTTTTAAGACCCATCAGAAACTGCCTGTGGTACAATTATCACAGAACACCACATCAAAAGCTGCAAGAAGACACTAGGACGCAAGCCAAAAACACTTTATAGTAAACCAATTATTAAACCAGTTATACTGTTCATCTGTATATTAAATTGTACGAACTATACCTAATTCACCAGATCTAGCAGCCTTTAGCTCTCAAAACTATGCATAATAATTTCAGGTTCTCCACCTAACATCTCTCCAGCTAAAATTTCAACTTTACCATAGCCATGAACAGGTTCAATTCTAGGAAAAATTCATGTTCCAGACTTTTAAAGGGTTTCAAGGGTTTCAAGAACTTGCTCTCAAAACATGTCTCCTCACTGACACTCACCATTGGCAGAGTAAATACAAGGACAAATGAGTAGTATATATGATATATTCAATAGGCATGTAAGTACCTGTGTTCTTCTTCTGTCCATGGCACCCCTTTCTTCCTTTCCTGATCAGCAGGCCGGGTCGAGGTGCCTCTCTTTCCACCAACACCGTAAAATTGTTTCAACCCATCAAAGCCTTGATTGTTAACCCACTCCAATGTGAAAGAGTTACTGGTGTAACCAGGGATTGGGATAAGCCCAGCTTCAATATCAGTAACATCCTCTTCCAATTCCTTGTACTGTTTGATCACGTCGCCTACGGTCTTTCCAGGGATCCTAGCTGCCACCTTGAACCATCGATCAGGAGTATCCTTATCATAAAGAGCAAGAGCATTTTCAAATTGCTTGTTCTCTTCTGCAGTCCACTCGGTTCCATTGCTCTCTTGAAACAACCAATTTGAGTTCTCAAGATACGAGGTTGGAGATAGAATTCCAATTCCTCTGTACATGGTTTTTTATATAGTTGGTCAAACTGGGAAACTGAATCACATAGCAAGCAAGCCAAGGATAAGTAAAACAATGAGCCTGTTTGTCTCTCTCTCTCTCTCTCTCTCTCTCTCTCTCTCTCTTTGAAAGCTCAAAGAGAGAGAAAACCCAGATAGGAAATGCAGAGAAGTGAAGGTCTTTATGACCAAAGAAGCATTAATCAAGGAGTAGCATTTGAAAAGGAATCTCAGTGGGGTTTTAACACAAGCACATGTTGAGGAATCTGAAAAAGGCCCAACCTTTCCAAAACCCAAGGGGGGAAATTCGATAAGCAATATGAAAATATTAGATCTTGGATTGTCAAAGATAAACCCTAGACCTCCACACCAGATTCAAAGGCACACAAAAACAAAAACAAAAACAAAAAGCAAAACCCAGATCAAGTTTTCAGGAAAGCTTGGAGCTTGGAGAGTGAAATTTAAGTACGCAGAAGAAAACTTGAGAAGATTATAATGAAAACCGAAAAGGAGAACAAGACCCAAGTAAGGAAACTTGATAAAGGAGAGTGCTTTTGCAGAGGTGAGCTGAAGAAGAGAGTGGGAAATTTCTTTTCTTTGTTTAAATGGGGTTTTTAGGTTTGTAGGCTATAGGCAGTGAATAATAATACAGAGAGAGAGAGAGAGAAGGCTTTAATTGAGAGACGGGGGGATCTATGGAACAGGAACAAGTAGAGGGAAGAGAGTGAAAAAGGGAGGTCAAAGTTGTAGAGTTGTGATTGGTTGGTATGGGGTTTGTGGGCGCAGCGCGTAGAGAGAGAGAAACAGAGAACCCCAACAACAACATGTAGAGAGACTTTGAAATGGACAGCCTGTGATTCGCTGATTGGTGACAGAATGCGCATGTGGGCCTTTTCGTAATTTCGCATCAAACGACCAATCTCCTTTTTCTCTAAAATATCCCAGATAGATAGTATGGTAGTATGACAAATTCAATTTGGTTACTAATGACAATCGCACCCCACACGAGTTCATGAAAAATTAATCATTAATTTAACTCTTGAAAGTCGTGAATAACTGTCGGTAAAGTGCACTCTTGCATATATAATTGTTTTCTCATATTATTATAAAAATATTTATTTTATGGTACATGTTAGGCGTCACATGTGTACTTGTCTTGGTCATTTTCATCTCCTAATTGATCTTGATCTTGATCTTAATCTTAATCAAGTCAGGATAAGTTCAAATTACAAGTAAAGTCAAATAGGGAACCAATAATGTATTGGAAATATTTGGTTTTTTTTTTCAAATTACAAAAATGCATAAACTATCCCTACAAGCATGACCAATATTAAATCATCATAAATACCAATCTATTAGGAACAGTAAATGAAGAAATTGAAGTTTTCTCCTCAAGTTTTTTTATATAATTATTTTATTTTTTATAACGAGGCGATATGATTTTATTGATAAGAAGAGGAGAAGTACAAAAACTGGGTTACGTTATGTCCTAAGGGATTAGGCGAGCTTCTCTATACATAAAGGTTCAATAGTCGGATTAACTGAGTAGTCTACTCTCTCAACCATAATGGGAGAATGAACTTACTTATCTCTGACTAATGCAAACTCAAATACAAATATCTCATTGAATATAAAGTTTATGTTTTCCTAATACATGGCACACATAAAGTAGAATGAAAAGGGATACAAGAAAGGTGGCCATAATAATTGATTGTTGCACTACTGACAAAGGAAAAACAAAAGTGAAAGTTATAGAAAAAGTTAAGATTATTTTTATACAAAAGGGTTAGCGCTAGAGGTTTACCCTTAGAAACATTTTGTATAGAACCTTCCCCCAAATATTCCAAATAGAGCTAATTCTATGTAAACCTATCATTTAGTCCCCCCTAATCCTCTCTTTTTAAGGTTTGTTAGGATTTCCATGCTACACAATACACCTATTTAAGATTCAGTATTTTTGGATCAGAAAAATCTGTCATAAATTGTTTCATTATAGGAAAATAATGCCCTTGGAGAGCCCATGGGGCCTCTACCAACTTCAATGGCCCATGTCATTTACTCATAAGTTTGTGGTCTCTGTACTAATGAAGATGAGGAGCTGCACAAGCGATTGGGGTTTCTAATATCTATCCATATGGGTGGAGGTGGAAGAGCTCAACCAACTGAGCTATACTCTTTTTCAACGTCAAATATGCAAATAGAGGTCACAATAAAATTTAAAATTCCATTTCACAACTTTATAATAGATAAACAAAGACTTGCACATCCAAGATCCAATACATATATTAATTCTTGAAAAAAAATGTGGTATTCTTCACTTCAACAACCAAAAATTAACTCAAACTTTGCTCAAGCAAATTTTTTCAGTTACTCAAGAAATAAGTTTGAATCTAGAAATATATATATATATATATATATAAATTTGTTTGTTTATTCATCCGCTCTTTCTTCTTCTTCTTGATCATGTGCCTTTTGAGTCCGCACGTCTCCTTTTTTGTTAGTTCTCTCTACTTGCAAGACTAGGGGCCCCTTTTGGCTACATTAACATTTTGGGAGATCGCTTGGAGGTGGTAGAATTGATTCATTCGGTCCTTTCCCATTGTCCACCAGGAATGCCATCTTAAGCCCCCATGTCGTGTGCACTTCGAGATGGCAATGCAAGAACCACACCCCTGAAAATTGCAAACAAATTTGGGAAAAGAAAAGGTTATAAGTGAATTAAACTAGCACCAAATCTCAATTGCCTATAATGATAAAGGAATTTCTATATCAATCTGTACTATGTGACGTTCCTATCATAATATGTATATAGGTTCCATCACCTAATAGTGGATCTCACGTACATGTTATGAGAAACAATAAATATGATGGGCTCATATAATAAATGATTTTTACATATTTTACCTGGATTATCTGCTTGAAATCGGATAGCTGCCCATCCGCCGGATGGCACTCCAACTGTGTTCCTTTCAACAGGATCAACAAGATTAAACTTCTTAGGATCCTTCTTGGGATTGTAATTCCCCACTCCCCTGCCCACAGAATAGAAATTGAATCCATGTAAATGGACAGGGTGGTTCTCAGGGGCTATAGTCCCAGTGTCTTGCAAAACAAGTTGAACAGTCGAGTTATAAGCCAGCCTATAAAGCTTTGTCCCATTTGTGGTTGCCATGCTCGCATTTGCAGGTGGACCTCCAGAAAAGTTGAAGGTATTTGGCGGGTTGCCCGGAAAATCGGTGGTAAAAACCCCACTGATGTTGAAAACATGAGCTTGAAGAAGAGCAGTTGTTGGCATAACAAATGTGACATTGTTGACACTTGCCACAACTCTGCTCCCATTACCTGCTTTGCAAGTAGGGCACGGGTTGACCCCGAGCCCAACTGTGAACAAGAGGTTGTGGTCAACTTTCAATGGGACTTTGGCTGGAAATTTCTTGGAATTTAAGCTTTTGAGGGAGTTGATAAAATTGTTAGCAACTTGGGTTGCGTTTTGGGGAGGTGGGTTGGTGAGAGTTGTGGGTGTGGTTGCAAGTGTGCCTGAATAATGTAGAGTTGCAGTGGCAGTGAGGTTGTCGACAGCAATGGGAGAGTCCATAAATGGTGAGGCTGCAACCAAGTACTTGCCTGAGTTTTGATTCGCCGTGATGAGGGCATTGGTGGTTTGCCCTGGGGCAATCACAATGGTGTCTGTCTTGAATGGTTTCACATAGGTAGCATCTACTTCCACTATGGTCAATTTGTGTCCTGCAATTTTGAAGAAGAGCTCCTCATTGAGCGCAGCATTGATGATTCGTAGCAGGTAGGTCTTGCCGTTTTCCACAGGCAATGTAAAGCCGCCTGCATTAGGATATGTTAGAAATGTTCTTTCGTCAGACAGCCTGGTATGTTATTTTTCATTCATGTGTGTGTACCTTCGGAAGAACAATTTGCAATGGGGCCTGGATGGCCGTTAATGGTGTGAGCATCCGAGACATTTGGTGCTATACCAGAACTGAGAGCTTGATTGATCACTGCTTCAGTATCTGATTTCCACCATTCAGCTGCAATATGCATATTGTTTAATTAATTTATATAAAATCAAACATTCACCTGCAATTGTGTTGTTATTAGAAGGAAAAAAAAACAGAGAAATTAAGTCTCACCTAATATGACATTCACTTCCTTGTGGGGTGCCGGGAATGGATAAGGCACACCACGCTTGGGCAAAATTACAAGGGCACCATGGACTGTGGCCCTTAGCCAGAGAATATGCGCATGCCAAAGAAGTGTGCCTCTTTGCCCTGTGATGGTGAAGTTGTACACATAGCTTTGGCCTGGGGGAATTGGGCACTGTGTGATGTATGCTGGACCATCTGCCCAACCAGTTCGCAGTTGCCGGACACCATGCCTGCCGGTCCAAAATTTAATTTGGTAATTGAGATTATTATTATTTTGTACATTGAATTTAATGTGACTTATAGATTGATAATTAGTCATGAAGTGGTGTATAATTAAATTGGTTTGTAAATTCTCACCAGTGAATGGAAACATTATACTTGACATGGTTGGTAACTTTGACGAGCACTGTGTCGTCTTCCCTGGCATAGAGGGTTGGCCCCGGGAACCGACCGTTAATGGTTACGATCGGCTTGGTGGAGCATAGTCTGGTAGTATTTTTCAAGACCACCTAAGCACGTCACCAAAAGGGACAAAGTGGCAAAACCAAAGTTAAAATTTACTCTTGTTAGACGTTGGACTAACTGAGCATCTTAATCAATTATAAAATAGGTATGTTGTAATGTTGTTGTGAGAAATTAGCAATGCAGTGTCATTTGGCAGCAATATGATCGAAGGTGTAACTTTTAGGTTTTGAGGTTGTACCATCCATGTACTTTTCATTTTTAAATTGGATATACCTCCCTGTCAGTTATCTTTTAGTCTAAGAAATTCATGTCTGACTCTGAGATATGATTTAATTTTCTACAAACTACAAAGACCAGTTTGATCAAATTCAGTATCAGAGAAGT